TGCTAGGACAAAAAGTGTATTAAGCGGAGCTGGCCCATGGGTCCACTGGTGTGCTCAAGATCTGGCATTGGGAGAAGTTCTGATGGAGGATCTTGGGGAACTCCTCTGTAGGGACACAATCCCTGCAGGTGAGTGCAAGAACCACAATAGGGAGCAGCCCAGATCAGGCCAGGTAAGGTTACCCATGAGCTTACCTTTGGCTCAGGTCTGGGATGAGTCAGACTGGGCCAGTTCATATCATCTGCCGGCAAATCTGAGACCCAGAATAATGTCTGGGTCATGCCAGGTCAGGACATAATATCAGTCAGTTCACATTCGGGCAGAGACTGGGGGCTGGCTGGGTTGGCTAGGCAGTAGGCTACACCAGTATGAGCTGGAACTGGGGGTTCTCTAGGCTGGGCCAGGCTACAGCACACACTGGCAGATGCTGAGATGTGGCAGGCCATGTCAGACTGGGCCACAGTGCTCAACCAGCACATGTGAGATCTGGAGGAGAGCAGGTGAACTCAGTAGGGGGAATGTGGAGGGCTACCCCAGCTGGTGAGAGTGAGAGCTGGGATTGGGGGCAGACCAGGCCAGGCAGGAATACAACCCCTGTTGACTTACATGTGAGCTGGATTAGGGGAAAGCCAGGCTGGGCAGACTGTACTTACTGGTACATGTATAAGCCAGAGTGGGTTTGGGTGGGTTGGGCTTTGCCACAGCATCAGCTAGCAGATGCTGGCATGAGGGACAAATTCTGTCAAGCTAAACTGTAGTGCCACCTGAGGAGTGCAAGATCTGAGAGTGTGAGTGAGCCCACTAGGGAAATAGTGGGCACCATTCTGATGGGCCACAACTCCCACTAGTGAGCATAGAAACAAGGGCTAGGACAGGAATGGCTAGACAGAGAGTGGCACCCACTGGCATGTATGTGGGCTGGATAGGTGCCTGGTTGGGTTGAACTAGGTTTCAATACCCATTGACATGTATGAGAATGAAATGGGATGTGGGATAGACTGGATCCGTCTGCTGTACATACTGGCAAGCACAGAAACCAAGGCAGGGGCGGGTTTGGTTAGGGTTATTGTGGGTTGCTCTAACTAGGCTGCAGCTCCCACTGGTTTGTGTGAGGGACAAATGTGCAGTGGGCAGGATTGGGCTTGACTGCAATCCTCATTCGGTTGTATAGAAGACAGGGCTGGAAACAGAACTGACCCAGCAATTGCAACTACCAGTGTGTGCATCTGCTAATTTGGGTGACAGACTGTGCTGGACCCTATAACGGCATGCACACACAAAAGAACCAGGTCTGGGATCACTTCAGATGAGGTTTCTTTGGGAATCCCCCCAACTGAACTGCTGGACCCAAGAGTTTCAACCATGGAGAGAATTGCAGGTTCCATGGTCTGACTATGGGCTGCGTTATCACAGCTGGACCTCCTCAATGGCTTAGATGGAGCAGTAGACAGCATATCCAGATGCACATGGATGATATGGCAGTACATTGGAACGTGCAGAGGACACCTGGTACCTTATCAGAGGACGGGGGCGGTGGGGGAAGTCAAACAATTCAATCAACTACCCCAGCCAAAAGTGTCAGTGAATACCTGGGCAAACAGAGGCTCTAAGGTAAACTATGTCAGCCAGTGGATTTTGGAGAGATTTTATTGTGATTGGAGTGGTAAGATCAGCAGCAATACAGAACTGTTGAACTATTAAAACCACTTAAACAGGACCCTCGGAACATGCCCCACATCGGGGACCCTGTGATGTTAGGAGGTTGGGTGTGGTGCTTTCCTTGTAGCTCCCCTTCCCCCAGATATAGGAAGGAAAAAAGCCCTTTGAATCCTATTCAAACATGTAAAACTTATCAAAAAAATTTCTAAATTTTGTATTCAAAAGCATCTGAGTAGGCATAAGCTTCATTCCTATTGGAGATTAATGAGAAAATTATAGAAAGAGTGATAGGGAGCGATATTTGGATAGATGAATATATATAGAGAGAATGTAGAAAATTGCAAATATGAATGAATACATGGATGGGTAGGTTGTGGAATGGTGAGGAGATTAAAGCTGGCCAGTCAGTGACACCGATATGAAAGGGAAGACATATGCTGCATTATGTTAAGAGACTTGCCATTTTCCCAGGATTTGGGATAAGAAGGAACACTTATTTATTGACTTATTGTTGTGAGTGTTATATGCATCACATCATTAAATGTTCTCAACAGTACTCAAAGTTAGATACAGGAGGAGGAATTTGACCTGGCAGGTAAAATGTTGGTTAAGATGCCTATATTTCATCTTTAAAAATGTAAGTTTGAATCTAGACTCCAAAATTAAGCTTACTGTTAATGCTGGTACTGGGAGACACCTGCCTCTAGTGTTATTCCTAGCTGCTGACTTCAGCCTGAGATATTTTTAGATTTGTGTGCATTTGGAAGTAAACAAGTACATTGGAGTGCTCTCTGTCTGTTATTCTCTTTCTACTGCTCTCTCTTCCTAGCCAATAAAAAAAGAAAGCAATAACTATGTCTACTTTTGAAAAAATAAAGGAGAATCATATTAAAAATCCACCATATTTATGCACATCATGAAGGATGAGTTGTGACTTATTTGTAAGTCTTCCTTCTTTCTGCTAAGAAATAGTCAATTGGATCTGTCTGGCCAACATAATTCATATGTTACTATTCTAATTAGGAAATACCACATATCTTTCAAGAGAGGTCCATTTCTACTTGAGATATAACTCTAAGTAGTCTCACTTTTCAGTTTTTCATATGGTAAAAGTAAAGTGAGAAGCACATTTATTTTGTTTTACCCTTCAGTTAAATTTCTAGAGTCTCTAACATATTATCAGCTCTGGAATTACATGATCCTATCTTATTCTCTCTTCCAATATTAAACTGTGGGAATGGGAAGACACAAAACAGATCCCCAGAGAGAAGCCCAGAGGCCGGACTAAAAGTCAGAAGCAAGAGTTCTCACTGGCCCAGTACCACGCAGGGTGTGGCTGGGGAGCTGCTTTGTTTCTGATACTCAGACTTCTCTGTGGGGAAGACTAGGCGTTTTTCCCCATGATTACTATACTGCAGAGAATCACTGCCTAGAGGCTGGCCCTGAAGGAGGACCAAGGTGGGAGTTTCTTTTCTTCTCATTCTCTCTGACCCAACAGTGTTTTGTGGTGACCTTTGTCTTATTCTTGGCCAGGTTTATGTAACCTCATTTTTCAAAATAGATTTTTATTTTGAATTTTGAATTATGTGGTACAATTTTGTATAGGCTGGGATTCCCCCCACCACAAACTCACACCCTGACAGATTTTTCCCATTTTACTACAATAGTGTAGTTCTTCATAAGAAATCATAATTCTATCAATCTCTTATTTTAGTTACCCCAACATTATTGGTACAGACAATGTCAGACAGTCCAGCATCCCATTGTCTACACATGCCCTACAGTTTCATTGGGAATCCATCTTTTGTTTGAAAGCAGTGTAACTTCATTTTCAAAAAGGGAATATAGCTATGTATCTAGAGATCAATTATGATGAATATTATAGGAGAGCAAATCCCGTTTGCCTTTATAACATGATCCTCAGTTGACAGATAAAGTATCAGCATCATTAACTCTGTGAACTTTGGACTCACAATTGTAGAACCATAAACTAGGGTGAGCTTCACTCTCTCTTTCATTTGTTGTTCTATGCCACTTCTGTTTCCTGACAGGAAGCAGCGTATGCATCACCTCCAATTGTAAGCCCAATCATTTGTGCATGTTTATAAAATACTTTAACTTTTCCGAAGGTTAGATTATTGAGTCCAACACTAAAAAAGATCTTTAAACATTGTTTTTTTTTTTAAAGGAAGCCACACACAAATACACTTGTGAGGGAGAGTCGAGAAGAGACACAGAGAGAAAGGAGAGAGAGATCTTTCATTTGCTTGTTTGACCCCTAAATGAACAGGTTTAAAATATGAGTGCAGGGCTCAATCCGGGTCTTCCTCATGGATGGCAGGGACTCTAGTACTGAATCTCTCATGTGTTTCCTTCAAGGGTACACATTAGAGGAAGCTGCAGTTGGGATCGGCACTGGAACTCAGACCCAGGCATTGCAGTATGGGATGTGGGTGTCCCAAGAGGCCTCTTAACTCCTCCTGCAAGGAACTCTCCTATGCTTCATATTTTAAAAAGTGGATATTTACAGCATGTTAACCTCTAAAATTAAATTCACATATACCTATCAAAAAGGTGAATACAAGCATATGTTCATTCCAAACACAACAGCAGCAACAATTTAAACAATAATCTTTATTATAGTATTTAGGTTTGAAAGGAAACTGCAACTGTTGCTCCCTAGGTCATCTGCATTTAATGAGTTCTATGTGGTCATGATTAGGGTCCTGGCTGCTCCGTTTCTGATCCAGCTCCCTGCTGATGCACCAAAAATGGCTCAAGTCCTTGGGCTTGTGAACCCGTATAGGATACCCTGATGAAGCTCCTGACTCCTGGGATTGTCATGGTGTGGCTCTGAACACTGGAGCCCTTTAATGACTGGATCAGCAGGTGGAAGATCTCCATCTCTTCCATTGCTTCTCTATAACTCTGTCTTTTTAATAACTAACTTAAATTTATTATTTTTTAAAGTACCACTGGTGATTCCCTTGTCCATCCCATTTTGAACCTCCTGCTGATGTAAAACTTGGGAAAGGCAAGTGCAATAGTTGCTTCCCTGAATCCCTTGTGGGAGAACTAGATTGAATTCCCAGTATCTGATCCTGGCCTGGCTCTCCCCTGCATGCTTCACACATTTGGAGAGGAAAAATGGCACATGGACAATCTTCGGGTATATGTTTCTATTAATCTCTGCCTTTGTCTTCTAAATAAAAAAATACAAAAAATGTAAAAGACAGATATTTCTCTAGTATTTTTAGTGTTATTTAATCACATTATAAATACATTTTTATTTCATAATTTCATTTGTTTATTCGTGTTAGGGATATTGAGCAACTGCTATCATGGCGGGAAAGCCTGTGCTCCACTACTTGGATGCCCGGGGCAGGGCGGAGTCCATCCGGTGGCTTTTGGCTGCAGCTGGAGTAGAGGTAGGTTCTGCATTATGTCATCTTCAGTTGTACAAAATTGGCTGCACATAAACAGGAATGACCTGAAAAATTGATGACTTAAATATAAACTACTAATTATAAAGTGATGAGCAGATTTGATCTGGTAAGTTGCTACTATTTCTTCTCACCAAGGAACATGTTTGATAAATTTAAGATACTAGTCCTAATATGTAGATTTGAATTTCATAAAGCATTAAAAACAGTTCTAATCATTTATATAGTAATTATAAATAATATTGATTAACTATGGATGATATTAGAAAATTATTTAGTGGTTATGCCTAGCAGTTCTTAATGTTTACAAAGACACATTGAATGTTTAAGTATAAAATGCAGTCACGTGTCTCCTAGTAACAGAGATATTTGAGAAATGTATTTTTCATTTTCATAAGGAGACCCTCAAAGTGTGTACCCACACAAGCCTAAAAGTAAAACTACTAGATAGGTCACGGGGATAGTCCATTGCTTCTATGCTACAAGCCTGTGCAGGAAGTTACTGCATGAATCATTCAGGAAGTTAGAACATCACAGTAGGCACCATCTACCTAATCATCTATAAATATAAAAATATTACATAAAACAGGTTACTAAAGACTCAAAAAATAGTACAGCTATATATGACACTGAACATGATTAAAATTTCTAGAACAGAGGTTAAGTAGAACTTCTAGAATGGAAGTTGCTTTGGGTGAGTCAGTAAGTGAATGAGTGTGAAGCTGGGACATTTCTGTACACTACTGTAGATCTGTTGAACACTTGAACCTGGGCTACACTCAATTCATGAAACATTTTTTTCTGTATTAATAAATTAACCTCAGCTTACTGTCACATTTTTACTTAATGCACTAATTTTTAAGCTTCTCTCCTTCTAATGTCTCTTAGCCTAAAATACAAATATGTTACCAGCTATATAAAAGGTTTTCTTTTTTTGTTTGTTTCTCTGTATTCAGTTTTAAGCTTAAAATTTCTTCTTTGTATTTCTTTATTTTTAACCCTTCTTTGATAAAACCTAAGACACAAACACATACATTAGTTTAGCCCTCTCCAGGGTTAGGATCATAAATAGCAGTGTGACAAAGGTCGAGATTTTGTTACATAAATGTAGTGATATTAAGTGCTTTATCAGACTAGAAAGCAAAAAAATTTGTGAAAAGCAAGTAAGTGTGAGAATTCTAGTTTCTCCCGTAGCTTGCGAAATCCATCTCACTGAGTCCCACACTTGCAGCTGAAGAAGTTTCATTTGCAATTAATTAAAGTTGTACAACAACTAGGACTCATTTCATTCAGGACTGAGTTCCTGGGAATGAAGTGACAGAAACTAGAGCAAGACTTATTTTGTGGCAGGAACTTGGGTGGTCATTTCCCCATCATATACTCCATGCTGGCAGCACTCAAGATTCCCCTCTACCTCATAGGAAAACAAGGCATCCCCAAGAACAGAAACTCTGTCCTAAGAAGTTCATCTGCTTCTCTGTTCCAGCGACATTTGCTCCCAAATCTAGGCCTATTGAATGGCCATGGGTCAGAGTAGAGGTGAAAGAAGCTACCTAAACAAGCAGCAATTGGCTATGCCCATGCCTTTTCCTTCAAGGAGCTCATCTAAAATCCCAGGGCCGTGTGCAGATTCCCACCTTCTCCATATTAGGTGCCAGAGAGGAACCATCCTTGTTTAACAACCTGTAATGTTATGGAGTGAAATAACAAGGATCCTTTGACTCTTTCTGCTTCTAGTTTGAAGAGAAATTCATCACCTCTAAAGAAGACTTGCAGAAGATGAGAAATGGTAAGGATAATCATCTGAATGTTGTGCAATTTCTAGATATTCACCAAGTAGTATTTGAGGATGAACACACACTGGGAGTGAAAGTGGGCATGGGTTTATTGAACCAATATTGAAACCTCTAAGGAAGAAAAACAGATAATCTCTGTCAGAATGCATGCAACAGGATAGTGAGGACAGCAAAGGCCTGTGGGATCCTGTTGAAATGAGGCTCCAGGAAAAAGGAGGCAGAGGGCCTCTCACCCAAAGTACCCTCTTGCCCCCAGTGAGTCCTTGGATGTGTTTTCATGCGCTCCCTGATGACAGAACATCTGTACTCTATCTAGTCAATTAGTCGAAGACAGACAGTATCCCTTATCTACTTCCAACTTCAATAATGCTTTGACCAAGTTGTCTTATTAGCCTCCTTGAGCTCTGCTCCCAGGCATGATCTAATTCTCAGTTGTGTCTGAACTATTGTTTTACCAAGTGTATAAGAAATAATCTTTGTCAGTTGCCTAAGAGAGCCATGTCCCCCATTTCTTTTCGGTCGCATCTCCTCCCCAGGAATCCACAAGGTAAGCTTGCAAATCTCACCAAGTACTAAAGAAGTGAATGTCCCACTGTCCCAGGAAGGCTATCTCATATTTTCTCCTGCTGTCTGCACTGTGAATGACACGAGAATTCCTCAGGGTGCCACATTGGCTTTGCCATCCAAGAACACAAGTACATGTGCATTACATGAAAGGAGGAACTGTAGGACTAGCAGGTACCCAGAATTCCTTTCTATTAAATATGTCTCAAAGCAATGACTTTGAAATATTTCAGGCTTGGTTAGAATACTGTATTTAATTAAGCAAGTCCAGATCAGAGTGTAAAGTGGGAAATGCTGTCCTGAATCAAGGTCACAAGGACATCTTCAACATGATTTGCAGTGTAGTTATTTGAAGTGCACTTACACAGCATGATGTAGAAATATTTCTCTGAGCTGGTCTGGATGTGATGAACAGCCTGAGAATTTGGAAATTTCTTACTATAAATAGAATCTAAATAGCTCCCAGTTGTTGTATCTCTCAATTCTGCAATGCATTTGCGTGAAGATGAAATACCAAAATGGGGGGCCTGTAGTCTGTCTAAATGGGAAATTAAAATTTTAATGAAATAACAAAATAGGAGCAAAAAAGAGTTCATAAGCGAAAGAAGAACTGCAACAAATTGAAAAAAAAGTTTATATCATGTAAAGCAAAAATAGAATTCATAAATAAAAGAAAGACTGCGGAAGATTCATAACAAAAGTTTATTTCATGTGAAAGCCAACTAGGTTATCCTTCTGATTTCACTTTACCCACTCAGTCCTTCCAGCAAATATTTTTTGTTTCTTTGTTTTGAAAGACTTGACTCAAAGATATTTTGCTTTCTTTTTTTCTTTCAAAAGATGGAGTGCTGATGTTCCAGCAATTGCCCCTGGTTGAGATTGATGGGATGAAGCTGGTTCAAACCAGAGCCATTCTCAACTACATTGCCAACAAATACAACCTCTATGGGAAAGACATGAAGGAAAGAGCCTTGTATGGTGCATTTCTGTTTCTACATTAGCAAATATCACAGGGATGATGTGGGACCACACTTGAGTGAGGACTGCAGAAAGTTAAAACAGGACCCAATAGCAGTGAGGATATGGGCCTGTACTGAGGTCTACTGTAGCAGCGTCCTTTGAGGTTGAGGGGAGTATTTTGGGGATGGATTCAGGAGAATGTGACACAATGCAGTCCATAGACACAGTCCAGTTCATAGACACATCCTGGAGGCAAAGGTTTCCAGACACTGCTGATTCATGAAATGAGGATGATGGAGGAAACGCAATTCCAGTTTCATAGGTTGTAGTGTGGATCGCTGGTGAGAAGAGTCAATGTGTGAGAGTCAGGAGATGATGACTTAGATCAGGAATAATTTAAAGGATTGATGATCATGCTCCAGAAACTATCAGACTTTCATGAATGTATAGTATGTGCCTGTTTTATGCATAAGTGGAGAGAAAACAGCAGAGTGTGGTGCCCAAGATTCCAGAGATTTGAAGCGTTTCACTCAGGACTCAAGTAGTCAAACTGAATCAATGCTACAAAGTTTGAGGAATCACCTTCTGGATGTGATGGTACTGCTTGACTGAAGACAAAGTCTTATGTGAAACTATTGGCAGTTGCTCATAAAGTTTAAGCATTTTGTCACCAGGAACATGACATTCTACTTCTAGATTTTTGCTCAAGAAAAATGAAAATACTTCCTATCTAGTTTTGGGACAGAAATGTACTTGGCAGCATTATCTATCATCTTTCAATGACAAACATATCAAATATTCATGTGGAATGCACTGATAAATTATACAGTTATTGAGGAGTTTTTCCACAATCAGTGATGAATATCTGATGGGCATGACAAAGCACATGAATCTTGAGAACTTCACACTGCAAAAACAAAAACAAACAAAAAATCAAACAGAACAGTACATTATATGAGTCACCTGTGTCGCATAAAATGCCCACAAAATTGTGTAGAAGTTAAAATGCACTAGTGTTGTCTATATCCCACATAAGGCTGCCTGGGTTCTGCCACCCCTGGGAATTTATCCAAGTAAAGGAATCACCTTCTGAGAGTACCCCCATGTTTATAGCAGTTCAATCATCAATACCTAAGAAATGCAACCAACCCAAGTGCCCATCAATGAATAACTGAATAAAGAAAATATGGCATATATGCACTATAGAATACTACTACAGTCATAAACAAGAAGGGGTTTTTGTCTTTTGCAACTAAACAGATATGATTGGAAATCATGAAGCTTAGTGAAATAAGCCAATCTCAAAAAGAAAAATATCATATTTCCCCCTAATCTGAGATAACTAACATACAGAGTACAAAAATACAATCTATTTATGCAGATGACATTATAGAGTATGAATAGAGTATATTACTTTTTTTAATACTCCTGAGCAACAGTAGGCTTGTGACATTTTGTTTGTTTGTTTTTTTATTCTGTGTTATGTTATCACTTTCTACTTGCCAGGTATTGATAACTTGACCTAAATGACTGTTAAACCAGTGATTGCAAAGAAAATGAAAGTATGTAAAAACTAGGGGGAAAATACATAAGGAGGAAGAAGGATAGGTTGGAAAAGGCAGGCAGGAGGAAGAGTGAGATGGGAAGTGCCAGTAACTTCCTCAATCTATAAAGTGATAGATGAAATTTGTCCACTCTATTTACATTTTAAAGGTAGTATATCTTGAAAGAGAAGAACCACCTGGGTTCAAGTTTGTTTTTGATTTGATTTTCCTGCTGAATTACATTCTAGGAGGCAACATGAGAAGACTCTAGTAGTTTGGATCCTGTCACATATGTAACAGAGGTCTGGTTCTGCATTTTGCATAATAGGGTCAGAATGTTGCCAAATTTGGGTAATGAACTAGTGTACAGAGAATCTCTTTTTTCTCCCTTATTGTGTGTTTCTTTGCATTTGAAATAGATAGAAGTAAGTCAATGGAATAATGGGATGTATTTATAATATTGTGCATAAAGTATTGTGGGAAACGTAACGTGCAAGAAGGAGGAACATGCGTCAGGATGGTGTGCCGGGTTAAGTCCTCTGAGATGAGAACAAGCAATTGTTCAGTCATGGTATGTCTGTGCACAGGACACAGTACAGTGGAGATGCAAACCCTAAGTGTAGCATCTGTGGTCACACTCAGGGACCCACCAGGTGCTCTCATGACTGTAGCTATGAGTAGGTCACTGACGTTTTTGGAACTGCATTTGACCACGAGTGTAGGAAATATTTGAGACTCTTAGTTTGCCTCGTAAATAAATGTGAATGTGTAAGTAAAAAGCCATAGCACAATGACTAGCAGATGAAAGGCCCATATGGAAGACAAATTACTCGGGTCCCCTATGTTACTACTAATTCTACTAATTTTTTTAAACTATAAATTCTAACATGGGAGGCACTGGACAATTAGGTTCCTTTTGTCTCTCAGGATCGATATGTACACAGAAGGCATAGCAGATTTGAATATAATGGTTCTTCATTACCCATTTCTTCCACCTGTGGAACAAGAGACAAACCTTGCTCAGATCAAGGATAAAACAAAAAACCGCTACTTTTCTGCGTTTGAAAAGGTAGGTGCTTCACCTTTAAGGGGAGCTGAGGGGCTTATAGGCTGTCTCAGTCCCAAGAACATGTCTTAGCAGAGTGGACTGATACTGCAAAAATGTCCCAGACTGAATGGGTTCCAACCTAGATGTTGGCTTCTCCAGCTCTGGAGATGAGGTGTGCAAATCCAAGATACCTGCAGAACATGAGGTCTGCTTAGGACCTCTTCTTGAGTCATAAATGAAGAACTACTGACAAGGCCCTAGCATGGTAGAGAGGCCAAGAGAATTTCCTGAAATTCCTGCTGGAATGTAAAATAATTTATCATGATCATACCTCTCTAAACAAAATTGATAAATCAAAATATACTTGCAAGATGTGCAAGAAATTTGTGGATGAAGGATCAGCTGCTTAACTCCTATCTTGCACAGCGTGATATCTTTCATTCTGACATTCAATGAGGAGAAGTTAATGCATTCTTCAGGAGCTAAGCCCTGAGAAGGGTGAGCAGTGGGGCTGCCACAGGGATGTGGGAGGGAGAGTGAGAACTGAGCTTTTACTGAATTGTAGACAGAACCTATTTTCCACTTTCTCTCATGCAGTGGTGGCTCTGGAGAGTGTTCTGAATTTCATTACCTCTCAGTGAGGCAGTAGGAGCTGTGAGTAAGGTTGGAGAGTGCAAGGGAGAGGCAGAGTCTCAGCCTGATCGTGCCTGTGACCAAGATCTGCTTCTTTACAATCACCAGGTATTGAAGAGCCACGGACAAGACTACCTTGTTGGTAACAAGCTGAGCAAGGCTGACATCCACCTGGTTGAACTTATCTACAACGTGGAAGAGATTGACCCCAGTGCCACAGCCAACTTTCCTCTGCTTCAGGTGACCTACCTCACAGTCATGTGAGGGCAGGATTCACATATCCCATTTTAGAACATAATATCTAGCATCTGGGTTGGGGACATTTCAGCATTCATTCCTTTATTCCTCTTTCCCTCCTGGAACTCTAAAATGAGCTTCAAGACCTTAGTTCAGTGCAAGAAGAAATTGTGCTGAGAAGGAAATATTTGATGGAGGTCCCTGAAACTCTTCAAATATTAGCCTTTTAAGGGAAGGATCCAGTACCCCACTAATCTCTCCAGAATGGCATCTTCCACTGTACTCTCTATGCCTGATTTCTCAGTGGTTCCCTTCTACCCACGTGGTCGTTGTCTTTCTGAACGGAGGCTAATGGAGCAGGTTTCCTCATGTGATTTTGCTTGGTCAGCTCTGCCTCCAGCTGTTGTTGGCGCTTGTATTTCTCTCAGTGAAATGCTTGTCCCACTCCTTTCTAGAACCTGTAATATTTCATGTCTCGTATACCAACTCCATTTTCCACAAATTTTAATTTGTCATGCCAGAGACTTCTAGGTGCTGATGTTTGACATATTGATTTTCACTGTAAGAGAGTCATAAAGTTTGAGACTTACTGTGTAAGTAATAATTCAGGGACAAACTGGATATAAAGACTTAGTGATTTCTTAGAAAATATTCACTGAATTACCTCCTTCTTCATTCCCACTGCAATTTATTTCCCAGCTTCCAGGCTGGTGCTGATGGAGGGGACTCAGCTGGTCTTTATCTTCCTTGGCTGTGCCTCTGGTGGGTGCTCTTTGCTCGTCCCTGAAGCTGTGATCTGTGCCCTGCAGGCTCTGAAGACGAGAATCAGCAACCTCCCCACCGTGAAGAAGTTCCTGCAGCCTGGCAGCCAGAGGAAACCTTCTCCGGATGAGAAAGCTAGACAAGAAATAATCAAGATTTTACATTAAGTTAAGTGGGTGTTAAAAATAATCCTTTGCAAACTTGTCTTGTGATGTTTCACACCAATGAAGAGAATCCCTTATATGTTGCTCCTGGCTATTATGATGCCATCAGAGTGTTTCAAATGTGTTGATAATGCAATAAACTCTTCAGAAAAGAATGAATGTGAATATATTTCTTTTCACTATTGTCTGACATAAAATCAGATTTCCAATGTGTTATAGTATCTTTTTTGATATTACATAATGGAGAAGAAAAGTGTTAACTTTTTTTTTTTTTTTTTACTTTTTCCAAGTATATTTGCTAATGTCTATCAAGTTGAAAAATTCATCTTTGGGTTTCTGCTGGCACGAGCACCTGGCTTCCACCAGCAGGCTCATGGGGCTGGGGGATACAGGCATGTGGAGACCTGAGGGCTCGAAACCCAGGGAGGTGGAGCAAGCCTGAGGAATTTGTCAAATACTTGATACAGGATGGAGTGGGGGTGGGTCGGGGATTGCCTTAGGTAGCATGCTGACATGTTGTGCTGGTGGACCAGGCTTGGGGAACAGTGAACATGCTTGAGTCTCAGGTGGGCAGAGGGGTAGGATCCCATGCAAGCATGAATACCAGAGGACCACGTCTGGGAACCAATCTATGAGTTTGGTGGGCAGCACACCATCAAGTCCACACCCACAAGCCTTGTCTCAGGCCAACATACCACCCCATGGGAAGACTGGGCTTGGAAAGAATGACCTGGAGATCCCATACACTCCAGAGAGCAGGGACTATGGATAAGGAGTTGGGAAAGGTATGGGAGAGAGGAATACTGAGGGAGAAGATTGCAGACAAGGAATGACTGCTGCAGCACTCCCATTAAAAAGGCACTCTACTTGCACATAAATGAGGGGGAAGAGACTGACCAGTTTGGAGGAAGGAAGCTGGAGGACCTTTCTGGGTCATACCAAAGCACCTGTCCACAAGGGAGACCTGAGTTGGGCTAGTTAACATCAACCAACACTGACATCACTCATGGACACACACTGAATTTAGGACTGGGAGCCTACCTTGTAGATCACAGTATCTACCAGTCAGAGTTATATAACAGAGGACAAAAATGTAAGGCTTGAGCATAGCACTAATCAGCATGTGAAAGAACCAGGTCTGGGAGCAGTTTTTATGGGAGATTTGTGGGCTCACTCCTGTAGTACTGCAATATCCACTGGTTTGCTCAAAAGCTGAGGATAGTGCCAGGTTGAGCTAGACATGTCCATGGAACCCTCTGACACTCATGGGTACTGGGGTTGGAAACAGGCTGGTTGGTCCAGGTTGTGGCACCCAGAGGCACACCCAAGATTAGGGTGTGGGGTAGGGTGGGCTACACATCCACCAAAACAGACAGAGGCTGAGACAGACAAGGCAGACTAACTACATCTGGTAATGGCCTAGCACTGTCTGGTACATGTGAGATCTGGGTCTGGGGATGGGTCTGGTAGGGGAACTTGGGAAATTTCCCTGGTGGGGCTGTAGCTCCCACTGGTGAGTGAGTCAAGGCTGAATGTTGGTCAGGCCAGGGAAGGCAGCTCCACTTGTCAACAAGTGTGTGGGTTGGTTCTGGTAGGGGACAGGTCAGGAAAAGCCATGCCAAGCCTTAGCATACTGGTTTGGGCATGAACCAGAACGGCATGTGGGCCATGTAGAACTAGGTTATCACACCTACCAGTTTGCATGAAAACCATGAATAGGGCATACTGGGCAGAGCTTGGCTGCAGCACCCACCAGAGAGTATTGAGATTGAGATGAGGCCAGGCTGCAGCATCTGATGGCAAAGGCCAAGATGGGAGGGTTTTTTCCAGGCTGGATTAGAGCAACCTCTGGCATACACAAGATCTGTGGCTGGGAAGAGAGCTGGTTGGAAAGCTAAGGGGACAACCCAGCTGGGTTATGGTTTCCACTGGTGAGGGCAAGAGCCAGAATGGGGGGTGGTGAACTGAAATGGGCATGACTGCAGTATACCTCATCATGGATATAAACTGGGTCTGCGGTATGCCAGTCTAGGCTAAGCTCCAGCACCTGCTGGTGCTCGTGAGAGCCAGGGTGGTTGTAGAACAAGCTTAGCTAGGTCCCTGCCCCTGCTGAACCATGTAAGAGCTATGTCTGGGTATGGACCAGATGTGGCTGGGCTGTAGCACTCAAGAATAAGGGACAGATTGGGTATGTACTGGTTGGGTAAGGCTACTGTTTCTGCCAGGACAGGAGGTAGAATAAGTAAGTCTGGGCCAATGACCAACCAGTGTGCTCAAGATCTGCCATTGGGAGGTGATCTGATAGAGGAGCTTGGGGAACTCCTCTGTTAGGATGCAATCCCTGTAGTGAGCACAACAACCAAGGCTAGGGGCAGCCCAGACCGGGCTCAGTGTGGCTCAGGTTTGTGGCAGGCCAAACTGGGCCAGTGCATAACACCCATTGGCAGATGTGAGAACCACAATGGGGTGCAGGACAGGCTGGGTTGGGCCACAGCACCAGCCAGTTTACATTAGGGGCAAGGCTGTGGCAGTCTAGGCTGGACTGAAGCACCTGCCAGCATAAGCTGGAGCGAGGGACAGGCCAGGCTGGGCCAGGTTGCATCACCCACCAGCAAATGCTAAGGTGAGGCGGATCATGCCAGACTGGGCTACAGCACCCACCAGCATACACATGAGATTCCCAGTGGGGGTGACGGATCCAGTTGGGGACAGTGGGGATTCCCCTGCTGGGAGACTGCTCCTACTAGTGAGCATGAGAACAGGGACCAGGGACAGAACAGGCTAAACAGGATTGCAACACCTGTTGGTCTACATGTGATCTGGAATAGTGGGAGAGACAGGCGAGACTAAGTGACTGTCCACTGGCGTATGCACGAGCCAGAGTAAGTGAAGGCTGGCTGGGCTTTGTTACAGCATCAGCTGGCAAGTGCCATGACTAGAGGCAAGTCCTGTTAAGCTAGGTTTCAAAAGCACTTGGAAAGTGTAAGCACTTGGAAAGTGTAAGATCCATACTTAGTTTAAATAAGCTTTGATATTTGAATACTTTTAAGCAAATTTTTTAATCCAGGTAGGAAATAAAGAATTAATTTTTACATAACTATACTCTACCCAAGTGTTTTTATCTCAGCATTTCAGCGAAATATTTAGCCTACAAGACAGGACATTTCAGCCTAATACCAACAAATGTTTTGCTAAAAGACATAAATATTTTTGAGAATCACATCATGGATGTTAAAAGACTTAAACTAAGCATAATTTACAATAATTTAGAGTTTATATCATCTTAGGAAGTATAGCAGAATTTTATAGATCTTTACACATTTTATGGCAGTGACAAACAGAGGGCTCTGTGGTTTACCAAGTCATACATTGACAAAAAAAGAGAGCAGAAATATTAAATGTGTGGTCAGAGAAACGTCCGTAATTTAGCAAGTGAAACAACATGGACTCTTCGAGTCAGAGCAGTTACAGACTAGTGACGGGTGAGAAAAAGCCAATTTTCCTTGATTCACAGGCGTCCCCCTCTCCTCTAGCTACAAGGTTCCAGGACCTGATTTACATGGACCCACAAAGAAAAAGTTAAAGAAGGCAACTTCTTACCCTGTTGTTTAGCATTACTTCTACCCTTTTCCAACCTGAAAGATTTAAAACAATGAATTTAGGAAACCAAGCATCATGCTCAAAAATAGAAACCTCATTGAATCTTTTCCTGGGTCTTCAATAGCTCTCCTCTGAGTAACAAGTACTCTACAGTATTGACTTTTTTTCTGTACTTAAAGCTCATCTCATGTTGATGTTAACCAGCCAATGCTTGATAATCAAAAAACCAGAGTGTGACCCAAGTACAGAAGTCAGTACGTGACTGTCTCAAGGATATGTTAAAGCACACAGTGATGTGGTTTGAATCATTGTCCAGCTGCAGACCATCACCGGCAGAGTTTGACCTTGATGTCAGGCACCGGCAGTCTGTGAACTCAAGCTTTCAGGCACAGTCTGTCCTGCTCTTTCTTATCAAGTCACACTGTATTTTTAAAAAATTTCTTCCAGCATTTGCTCTTTCCTGTTTTTGTAAAAGTTGCAATAATAAAATTTATTGCTTCATAGCAAGAATGTCATCTACTTAAAAGGCAGGAAAGTAATCAAGGACATGGAGCAGGGATGGAGTGGGAGAACAAGCCAGGCTCACAGAAACCTTGATTCAAATGTCCCCTTTGCAGAAGAGGAGTGGATACTCGGGGTCTCAGACAGTGAGTGAGAAGGTGTTAGGAAGGCAGCGGACACATCCAGATTCAACTATGGACATAGAGTCGTGTAATAGAAGAAAAGCGCTGTCTGAAGGAGGAATATAAGTAGAGGTTGGGCATAGGAAACCTCTGACCGCTTGCCAATCTGTCAGAGGAAGTCATCAAGATTATCTAGAACATTGGGGTCCCGAATTCAGGCCATTGGCTGAAGTTGTTCAGTTGGTGTTGTGCAAGAGCAAAACACACAGTTGGATGAGATTCTGTGCCTTCAAATCCAAGGCCAGAAGTAAGGTTTGGAATTTAAGGATTTTTTCCCCCCATAAACCTGGTCATTCCATCCCAATGAGTCAAACATTTGCAGCTTAAGACTTTCCATTCTGAAAGTCAAGGGTGTGTAACAACCAAGACCCATTTCATCCAGGTCTGGGCTCCTGGGAATGAAGTGACAGAAATTAGGGCAGGATTATTTGATGCCAGGAACTTTGGTGTCCATTGCTCCATGTTGTATTCCGTGTTAGCAGCAACTAAGGTTTCCTTTTAAAATTAAGATTTATTTATTTTTATTGGAAAGGTAGATTTACACAAAGAAGAAACAGAGAAAGATCTTTCATCCTCTGGTTCACTCACCAGATGGCTGCAATAGCTGGAGATGAGCCAAATCTAAAGCCAGGAACCAGGAGCTTCTTCTGGGTCTCCCATGAATGAGCAGGGTCCAGGAGCTTTAAGCTGTTCTCCACTGGTTTCCCAGGCCACAAGCTG